CTCCTCTCCTCCTCCTCCTCTTTCCTCCTCTCTCCTCCTATCCCCCTCTCCTGCCTGTCCTCCCCCTCCTGTCATCCCTCTTCTCCCTCCTCCTCCCTCCATCTCCTCCTCCTCCTCCTCCTCCTCCTCCTCCTCCTCCTTCCTCCCTCCTCCGCCCTCCTCCGCCACCCCGAAAAAATTGGAGCGGCGGGTTTGGTGCTGTTTCCGGCCTTGGGGTACCCTCGCCTGGCCTCGGGACCGTCAAAAACGACTCCGGACTGAAGACTGGCCCTGAAGGGAAGTGGTTCAAACCTCTTGGGGCACGCGCACCAACCAAAACTGGAGCGACCAAATGTCTGGGGTAGGGCGCGCATCAAGAAGCCAGATGCTTTTCGGCAGGGTGCCCTGGGTTTCTTCTTCGCTCCGCGCGCTGCGCGGTGACCTCCCACGGCCGTTGAAGAAACTGATGGGTTCAGGGTGCTCTGGGTTCCCCCCTCCTCCTCCTCCTCCTCCTCCTCCTCCTCCTCCTCCTCCTCCTCCTCCTCCTCCTCCTCCTCCTCATGTGCATCGCGCGCTTGCGGGTCTTCAGGGCTGGGTTTCCTGTGAGGGTTTCTTGCGGCGGCGTCCGCACTGCAGGGGGAGAGGGGAAGCCTTCTCAGGAGGCTGCTCCTTAGAAGGTGCCGGCCTCACATCTATAGAGAAGGCCCGCGCCGTCCAAGAAGCAGGGGTGCTTCTGAGAGGCCTTCCCCCCTACCCCCTTCTGCGCGTGGCCGGACCTGCGGAGCAATCATAATTTCTGCGGCAATTCGCGGGAGCCTCCCGTGCCATCTTGTTGGCTCCTGCGAACTAGCGCTAATCGACGCTGAATCGACGCTGATCGACGGCAACCGACGCTTATCGGCGCTGAACCGGAGCTATCTCAACTATTACCAAATGCTAATCGACGCGAGTGCACTCTAAAGATCGAATGACGAGGGTATACAAGGCTCCCACCGTATACAAGGCGCCCACGATATGCTACAATACATGGCTAATGCGAAATCTTCGACAAAAACGACTAGGGGTGAATAAGCAAATTTAGTGGGCCATTGAACCAGATTGAACTGGATTCAGCGGGACTGAACCGGCTCAAGCGGGACTAGCAGGACAAGAGCGCTTTTCGACCAAAGGTATAACAACGCCGAGGCTGAATTGAACTGTCCGGGAGTTGTCACAAGCAGCATCACTGACACGCCCCCGTGGGGAAGCCATCGACATGCTACTGCTGAATACACAGCATGACTTCGGACAAGAGCGACGCAGCAGCAAGCCGGCGGGCTCCCAGCGGCAGCGTGTGTCAGTGCTATACTCTTTCCCGCCCAGCTGGAGCCGCTGAGCACCGGGAGACGAAAGAGCAATCAGCGCCAGGTCGGGACGCGGGATCGAATCGGAGTGAGCGTGCGTAAGATCGGCCTGCATCGACACGCACATCGGAGAACAAGGGCGACAGACGGCAACAGCAACGCGGTGCAAACATCGGGCCGCATCCGGCCGTCGGAACATCGGCACCGACAGAAGAAAAAACAACGCCACGAACATAAACTGTCGGCGCTCCGCGCACATTTCTTGGCTCTGCGCTGGACCCCCCTCCCTGGCGCGCGGAGCGCGCGGAGCGCGCGAGGGGCGGCGCCGGAGGCGCCGCCGGGGGGGGCCCAGGGCAGATCCCAGAAATCCGCGCGGAGCGCCAAACATCTCTGTGTATGTGTGTGTGTGTGTGTGTGCGTGCGTGTGTGTGTGTGTGTGGTGTGTGTGTGTGTGTGCGTGCGTGTGTGTGTGTGTGTGTGTGTGGCGTTTTTCCTTCTTCGAGCCGAGTCGGCCTGGGCGGGCCGGAAACGGCACCGAATGGCATCGGTGGCGTCGGAGGAGCACGAGCCCAGGCCGAGGAGGCGAAGGAGGAGGAGGAGGAGGAGGAGGAGGAGGAGGAGGAGGAGGAGGGGGAGGAGGGGGAGCAGGGGAGGGGGAGGAGGAGGGGGATGAGGAGGAAGGAGGAAGGAGGAGGGGCGAGGAGGAGGGGGGGAGAGGAGGCGGAGGAGGAGGAGGAGGAGGAGGAGGAGGAGGAGGAGGAGGAGGAGGAGGAAGGAGGAGGAGGAAGGGGGAGGGAGGAGGAGGAGGAGGAGGAGGAAGAGGAGGAGGGGGAGGAGGAGGAGGAGGAGGAGGAGGAGGAGGGGGAGGAGGAGGAGGAGGTGGAGGCAGGAGGAAGAGGAGGGGGAGGAGGAGGAGGAGGAGGAGGGGCGAGGGGAGGAGCAAGGAGGAGGGGGAGGAGGAGGGCGGATGGAGGAGGGAGGAGGAGGAGGAAAAAGGTGGCGTCGGAGGAGCACGAGCCCAGGCCTCGGCCCTGGGGCCCTCCGCACCGAGGGCCCATCCCCCGCACGCCGCGACAGCGAGCACAGCGCAGAGGGTCTATAGGGACGACTCTCGGCCTGCGGGGGCCCTCGCCATGACGGGCCTTGTTTTTGTTCCACCACCACCACCACAAGTTGGAGGGGAGGAGGAGGAGGAGGAGGAGGAGAGGAGGGGAGGAGGAGGAGGGGAGGAGGAGGAGGGAGGAGGAGGAGGAGGAGGAGGGGGAGGAGGCAGGAGGAGGAGGGAGAGGAGGAGGAGGAGGAGGACACCTCCCACTTCAACTCATGGTGGTGGTGGTGGTGGTGGAAAACAGGCCCATCACACCAGGCCCCGAGGCTGTCCAAGAACAAGTCGCTCGAGGCGAAAACAAAAAAAACGACCGGGGTCCAGACATCGGCAGGCACAGGGGCGTGACCAGATCGCGACGTCCCCGGGTCTGGGGTGGAGGACGGTGGCAGCGAGGCCTGGCGGGGTCAGGAGTAGGGCGCAGAGACAAAGTCGAGGAGGAGGAGGAGGAGGAGAGGCAAGAGCAGCGAGGAGAGAAGGGGAGAGAATCGAACGCACGAACGAGCGAAGCCGCCGTCGCCGGGAGCGCCCAACGACCCCACAAGGGCGTCAGGCGCGCCAAACGCGGTGGCCTCCAGAGAGGCCGGGTTGCTCATCGTGTGTGGAACGCCGAAGGAAAATATTATGAACGTGTGACAGTGTGACTGACTTTGCACCTAGGTTTAGTGCAGCTCGGTTTTCTCAATACGCTCCAGACTGTTTCACACGTTTTGTCGAACGCTACTGGCATCTTGCTCAAATACTTTTCTTCAACAAGAAACCAAAACACATGTGTTGTCCAACCTGCTTCCAGTAACAAGAATTAGAGTCACATGTGGTCAACGTACTCATCCTCAAATCTGTGCCATGTCACAGGAGATTTGGCGATCCTCGTTCCACGATGCCCAACCTTTGTCTAAAAGAAACAATTCCTATCGCACGAACCGTCCTGGCCGGGACTGGACAGGGCAAGTCAGAGTGCCCCGCGAATGGTTTGACCACCAATCATTATTACGCCAATCTATCGTCTGTGTTGCCCAGTTCTCTGGCGACATATTTGCAATCTCCCCGGCCCAGCGCCACTTGCTCCGTAGAAGCGACTCCGTCCAGCACGTGGTCTGCTGTCTGCGTCGCCGCTCGTATCCAAGACCAAGATGTGGGATCCTCTTCTGGTAGTCTCCGGGGTCCCACCATTCGCCTCAACATGCATCTTTGGACGCTTGTGATTTTTGTTGAGCACCTGCTCGCTTCCATGCATCCGAGCACCACAGCATAGTTTTTGATGCTGTGGCACCCAGCAACTTCCAGCGCCTCGTGGGCGATGTGCCCTTTTTGGTACTAAGTGGCTCCGGTATGGTGGAACACTTTGCCCAACAAACCCTCGATCGTGCCTCAAATTCCGTCGGCGTGCTGTGACCAGGACAACCAGAAGCGTTGAATCCCGCCGTGCAGTCGACAACTGGAGATTCTTCCTCCCCAAACCTGATCGTTTCGACTCGGAGCGGCGAGCAGTCCCGCGCACTGCGCGCTGCACTTCTCTGCATGCAAGCTCGAACCAATTGTTTGGGCAACTCCTCCTGGATGAAGATGCGGCGTCGGGAAATCTGAGGAGAGAACGAGGAGGAGGACCAGGAAGAGGGGCATGATGACGACGATGAGGAGGAGGTGGAGGAGGAGGAGGGAAGGGGGAAGATGGAGGGGGATGTGAAGCAGGACCAATGTTTCGGCAGCTATCCGATAGCAGTCGTCCCAGCATCCTGCAGGCCAGTCAGCGGAGGCATCGCAGCCAGATGAAACATATCATGAGGGCGCGTGCAGTGGAAGGGGCCGCAGTAAGGAGTCTCAGGCGAAACGCCCAGCCCGCCCTGCCTGAAGCTCACGAAAAAGAGGGATTGAGAGAATGCCGTAGATGAGGGAGGTAGGGAAAACGAGGATGTGGACAAGAGGGGAGGGGATGGTGGACGGGGCGGGGGAGGAGAGAGGATTGAGGAGGGCGGGGGATCAGGGAAGGATATAATAGTGGGGATGATTGGGAGGATGTGGTAGAAAAAACGGATGAACGGTGGGCGATGATGAGTCGCGGAGGAGGAAACAAGGTCACTCCATGCCGTGCATCTGCTCAGGACTCAGTGCAGATGGGCGACTCCAGAAATCCCGAATCCGAGACAAATCCTTTCAAAACAATTGCATCTCCTGGGGGGGGGCGACTTTTGCTTCCGCCGGCGGACCTCTCTGGTTGTTACTTCCGCCGCCTTCCGCGGGCCTATCGCCGAGCAAAAGAATAGGTAACCATATGTGGACCCTGCCCCCTGCCTCGACTGTCAGATTTCTAAGAAGACTGGCTGGGGTTCAGAATGCGAGGGATATCTGCAGCCAGGTGGATGCCAGCGGGGGTACCCCAGCGAGAAGTGGACCCGCAGGGGTAGGGTTCGCAAGTGGTCGCTTAGAGAATGCAACCGACCTCTCGATCCCTCGAGGACGAGGTCTTTTCTGTTGGTTTCTCTCTCTCTCTCTCTCTGGAATGTCCAGCTTGGTGCCCCTGCAGCCCTTCCGCTCCTGTGCAGCGCTCGCCAGCCCCTCTCCCTCCAGGCGACCTCGAAGACGCCGTTGGAGGCACCAGGCTCCCCCATGTCCACGCAGGTGGTCTTCCCCCCGGGCACCTCCCGCTCGAGAGGAGAAGGAGGAGGACGAGGAGGAGGAGGAGGAGGACGAGGAGGAGGAGGAGGAGGAGGAGGAGGAGGACGAGGAGGAGGAGGAGGAGGAGGACGAGGAAAGGAGGGGGGGAGGATGAGGAGGGGGAGGAGGAGAAGGAGGAGGAGGAGGAGGAGGAGTAAGAGGAGGAGGAGGAGGAGGAGGAGGAGGAGGAGGAAAAGGAGGTGGTGGTGGAGGAGGAGAAGGGGAGGAGCGGGATGGGGGAGGAGGAGGCGGAGGAGGAGGAAAAGGAGCAGGAGGAGGAGGAGGACGAGGAGGAGGAGGAGGAGGAGAGGAGGAGGAGGAAGGGAGGAGGAGAAGGGTGGAGGAGGAGGAGGAGGAGGAGGAGGAGGAGGAGGAGGAGGAGGAGGAGGAGGATCCAAACGAGCCAGTGGGGGCGCATGCACAGACGGGGCGGCACTTCCGAAGAAGGCGGCAGCTCCTCGGGAGGCAAGCGCGACCTGGTGGCTTCCAAGAAGGCTCCCTGGAAGCCGGGACAAATTCCAGGAAGACCCCTTGCCTTCTCAGAGACCCAAGAATTCCAGGAAAACACATCCGCGAATTCCAATGATTCCCATGAATTCCGGGGGGCCTTCCAAGAAGCCCCCCCGCCTTCTCAAAGGCCCCCCCCCCATCGCGCCAACCTCCTGTGCGCGCCGCAAAGAGAGCCTTGGGGGAGAGGGCAGCGCGATTGACTGATCGCGTCCACCTCCCCACCCCCCTCCGGGGCACTCTAGTAAGGTCTGTTTCGCCGAGCCCGCCTTGGACGGCGTGCAGAGGGGCCTCCAGACGGGCACATCGCAGGCTAACCCTGCTCGCGCACCGGGACAGGAGGAAGCTCACTGGGGAAGACGAGCCCTACCCTTTTCCCTTCCTCTCCCCCCGCGGACTCGGTCGCGTCGTCTTGTAGTCTTGTCGTCGTCGACGTCTCCTTCTCTCTCTCTCTCTCTTGCTCTCTCCCTTGCCACTGAGCTCCTGTCGACTGGTGCAACACACGCAGCTGAAAAGGTGTGGCGGAGCAGGGCTCAACGAGTAATTTTAAGCGAACGTTCGAACAAAGAGTTGACCTGAAGGGGGCTGGCAAGCGGCTAAGAGCAAGCACTGATTACGGACTCAAACATCAGCTCCATTGCCAAGGCTGCTGTTCAGGCTAAGGGGCCACTCGAGGGCGAGATGTATAGCGGGCTGATGACAAGGCGTTCGCAGAAACTATGATCGCAAGGCGATGCTCCAGAGAATCCACCTCCCGACCCCTTGTAAATCTGGCCCGCGACTTGGTTGAGGCCAAGTCGGAAACGGGAATGAGATGGATGCCCTTCCCCCCCTTTGCGACCCCAACCACCGACGTCATGATTTTGTTCATGATGTCGACCCCCACAAGTCTCGACCCATTCCCCAAGACCGGTTTTCATCCTGCGTCGTTTTTTGACGATCCCGAGGCCCAGTAGGGACCCCCTGGCCGAAAACAGCGAAAAACATCTCGCCGTGATTTTTCCATGACCCGAGGGAGTCTGGGACCCCTTCCACCTCGTCCCCCTCCCCACATCTTCCCCTGTTCTTTGCACGTGTACAGCTGGACCCAAAACAGAATTGCATCCTTCAAGAACGTGAGACCCTCCGCCAGCCAAGAAACACATAACATGAGACCCTCCGCCATGAGACCCTCCGCCGAGACTCCCTCGATCTTCTACCGCGATCCGACCGAAAGATGGATCCCCTTCCCCCCCTCCACGACTCCATCTACCTCTTCTCGGCTACACGCACGAGTGACCCTAGGCAAGAGTGAGGTGCACGGCTTACGGTGGGCGCAGGGTGGGCTAAATTCAAGCGCGCAGGTAACCACTATCGCATCGCGCTTGGCGAGCGGAAGAATCCTGGTGAGCCCGCACCACAGGCCACTCCAGCGAGGGGTCACTGTTACGTGTACCCAGAGATCCAATGTCGCATTTTTGTCCAATACGGGGTCCCTGGAAGATGCATTCCCCAGGACTGTTTTTCCATCCTGAGTCGTTGTTTGACAGTCCCGGGACCCATCGAGGGCATCTAGAAGCCGAAAATTGCGAGAGCAAAAAATTAGCCTGGCGAAGGACCCAACCATATGCAGTTGTGAATGCCGCAATTCTGCTGGGTGGTGGCGGACGCATGCGGGCGGTGCCACTGGGACCTTCGGTGGAGCTCCCTATGGGGCCACGAAACGCTGTACTGGGTGGGTGAGACGCGGTCAGCAAGGGCTGTGCTGCGTGGTGGCGGACGCATGCGAGCGGTGCCACTGGGACCTTCGGTGGAGCTCCCTATGGGGCCACGAAACGCTGTACTGGGTGGGTGAAACGCAGGCAGGGAGCAAGGGCTGTGCAGGGTGGTGGCGGACGCATGCGGGCGGTGCCGCTGGGACCTTTGGTGGAGCTCCCTATAGGGCTACGAAGCGCTGTTCTGGGTGGGTGAAGCGCAGGGAACAAGGGCTGTGCTGGGTGGTGGCGGACGCAAGCGGGCAGTGCCACTGGGACCTTTGGTGGAGCCCCCTATGGGGCCACGAAACGTGCGAGGGGTGTGCCAGAATGGGGTGTGGAACCGCATGCCAGCGCAGCCACTGGGGCCTTCGGTGGAGCTCCCTATGGAGCCACGAAACGTGTGAGGGGTGTGCCGAAATGGGGGGGGAACCGCATGCGAGCGCAGCCACTGCGGCGTTCGGTGGAGCTCCCTATGGGGCCACGAGACGTGTGAAAGGCGTGCCGAAAAAAAGGAGTGGAACCGCATGCTGGCGCAGCCACTGGGGCCTTCGGTGGAGCTCCCTATGGGGCCACGAAGCGTGTGAGGGGTGTGCCAGAATGGGGGGTGGAACCGCATGCGGGCGCAGCCACTGGGGCCTTCGGTGGAGCTCCCTATGGGGCCACGAAACGTGTGAGGGGTGTGCCAGAATGGGGGGTGGAACCGCATGCGGGCGCAGCCACTGGGGCCTTCGGTGGAGCTCCCTATGGGGCCACGAAACGTGTGAGGGGTGTGCCAGAATGGGGGGTGGAACCGCATGCGGGCGCAGCCACTGGGGCCTTCGGTGGAGCTCCCTATGGGGCCACGAAACGTGTGAGGGGTGTGCCAGAATGGGGGTGGAACCGCATGCGGGCGCAGCCACTGGGGCCTTCGGGGAGCTCCCTATGGGGCCACGAAACGTGTGAGGGGTGTGCCAGAATGGGGGGTGGAACCGCATGCGGGCGCAGCCACTGGGGCCTTCGGTGGAGCTCCCAATTGGGCCACGAAACGTGTGAAACGGTGTCGAAAAAAGAGGTGGAACCGCTGCGGGCGCAGCCATGGGGCCTTCGGTGGAGCTCCCTATGGTGGCCACGAAAGTGTGAGGTGTGTGGTGTGAGGTGTGCCCGAATGGGGGGTTGGACCGCATGCGGGCGCAGCCATGGTGCCTTCGGTTGGACTCCCTATGGGCCACGAAACGTGTGAGGGGTTCTGTTTTCTGCCAGATTGGGGGGTGGAAACGCATGCGGGCGCAGCCACTGGGCCTTCGGTGGAGCTCCCTTTATGGGGCCACGGAAACGTGTGAGGGGATCTAGTTTGATTTTGTGCCGATTAGAAAAGAAGAGGGGTGGAACCGCATGCGGGCGCAGCCACTGGGGCCTTCGGTGGAGCTCCCTATGGGGCCACGAAACGTGTGAGGGGTGTGCCAGAATGGGGGGTGGAACCGCATGCGGGCGCAGCAACTGGGGCCTTCGGTGGAGCTCCCTATGGGGCCACGAATCGTGTGAGGGGTGTGCCAGAATGGGGGGTGGAACCGCATGCGGGCGCAGCCACTGGGGCCTTCGGTGGAGCTCCCTATGGGGCCTCGAAGCGTGTGAGGGGTGTGCCAGAATGGGGGGTGGAACCGCATGCGGGCGCAGCCACTGGGGCCTTCGGTGGAGCTCCCTATGGGGCCACGAAACGTGTGAGGGGTGTGCCAGAGCGGGGGGTGGAACCGCATGCGGGCGCAGCCACTGGGGCCTTCGGTGGAGCTCCCTATGCGGCCACGAAAAGTGTGAGGGGTGTGCCAGAATGGGGGGTGGAACCGCATGCGGGCGCAGCCACTGGGGCCTTCGGTGGAGCTCCCTATGGGGCCACGAAACGTGTGAGGGGTGTGCCAGAATGGGGGGTGGAACCGCATGCGGGCGCAACCACTGGGGCCTTCGGTGGAGCTCCCTATGGGGCCACGAAACGTGTGAGGGGTGTGCCAGATTGGGGGGTGGAACCGCATGCGGGCGCAGCCACTGGGGCCTTCGGTGGAGCTCCCTATGGGGCCACGAAACGTGTGAGGGGTGTGCCAGAATGGGGGGTGGAACCGCATGCGGGCGCAGCCACTGGGGCCTTCGGTGGAGCTCCCTATGGGGCCACGAAACGTGTGAGTGGTGTGCCAGAATGGGGTGTGGAACCGCATGCGGGCGCAGCCACTGGGGCCTTCGGTGGAGCTCCCTATGGGGCCACGAAACGTGTGAGGGGTGTACCAGAATGGGGGGTGGAACCGCATGCGGGCGCAGCCACTGGGGCCTTCGGTGGAGCTCCCTATGGGGCCACGAACCGTGTGAGGGGTGTGACAGAATGGGGGGTGGAACCGCATGCGGGCGCAGCCACTGGGGCCTTCGGTGGAGCTCCCTATGGGGCCACGAAACGTGTGAGGGGTGTGCCAGAATGGGGGGTGGAACCGCATGCGGGCGCAGCCACGGGGGCCTTCGGTGGAGCTCCCTATGGGGCCACGAAACGTGTGAGGGGTGTGCCAGAATGGGTGGTGGAACCGCCTGCGGGCGCAGCCACTGGGGCCTTCGGTGGAGCTCCCTATGGGGCCACGAAACGTGTGAGGGGTGTGCCAGAATGGGGGGTGGAACCGCATGCGGGCGCAGCCACTGGAGGCTCTCTTGTAGAGTAGCCCCCCCCCCCCCGCCCCCCCCTCCCCCCCCCCAACCCCCCCTTTCCTTCCCCCCCTCCCCCTACCCTTCCC